TATTATAAATGCGAAAGTAATTGTCTGTTACGTTGTCACGTCGAAACCGCTACACCACTTGTAATGAATTTTGGTATAGCGATAGATGGGACTTAGGAGAAGGACATAGGCTTTTTGTCACAAAAATATAACTTAAACGGGGTGAAGTAAGAGACGAAAGTTTGTATGGAGAAACAATAAAACTATGAATATAAGAGACCTCCCCACACTAGCGTCTTCCGAGCGTCAGCGTCTTGCAAACACATCGACTCATCCGTAGAACATAGATGTATATGCAAGTATGCGTTCGTTCTTCTTCGCTATGGATGTCAGATCCACTGTTGTTCGATTTCATAATTTCCGAAACGCAACAAGATATATAAATTCTCAAAACACCTTTACATAGGCCTTAGTTTGAATAATGAAATTATTCTCATTACGTACTTATTCTCTTTTCGCTATATAATCACATCAGACTCTGTTCTTAGGATGAGTCGACATGCAGATCATCGACGCGGATCCGCGTAACAGCGACGCAACAACGAACAACAAAGACGCTAGTACGGGGGATCTCTTAGAATAGTAGAGTAGACTATACGAAGTACTTATTCTACACATACTGTAATATACTAAACATTTCTACTCACCTTAGGTTCAGGATATTTATGCAAAAACTGAGCTACGTAAGTCATAATGGACCTTTCATCAGGCTTGTCGACATCCACGTCTTCCGCGTCCAATAACCTGGCTATACCAAGCTCGCTCTCGGCCACATCGAAGGCATGTTCCAGCCTTTGTCTATTTGTTTTACGTTTCATTTCGGCCAGGTTGATCAGGTTGGCCTTAATAGCGTCGATGATGGCCAAGAAAGCGATGCCGTCGCGCCACGATGGTCCGAAGTCTGTTACTTGGATGTTGGAGTCCCTGTGTTCACATTTAGTTTGTTAATGTTTATTATCTTAGAAAGTAAACATTATTTTGGGTACGGCTGTTTATCGGCCAAGTACAGCAATTTGAAATTGTTCTGATTATTTCCGGCGGCGTAAACGCGTATTATCTGCGCGTATACGCGCTGTAGTGAATCGATTCAAACACGCGCAAACATCGCGTTGTAAGCAAGAAGCTTATATACGACACTGGAGTTTATACTTAGAATTTCATGTAATTGCTTCAATTAAAAAAACTAACTGAAATCAACAAATAAAACTAAAATTAACTATCTTTCGTCAAAATGCGCGCCTTTACAGCGCGTTTACGCGTATAAAATACGCCGTTTGTTTGAACAGGCATAGTGAAATTATTTTTTTAATGTCTACTTTTATAGACTTTATAGAGATGCGAGACGAGATTTGAAATGTCCGACCAAAAATTGCCATTAATAATAACTCTTACGAGCTCACGATTCGTATCTATCGTAGCCATCTTGAGCTCGCCCTGAGATTGTAACTAAGATAGAAACATTAATACCTACCAAAATAGTAAATTACTTGGTTGATAAATGTTAAAAATTTGATTGCAAGGCACTCTATAATTAAGAATTTGCAGAAAAGCTATCTTTTCTTTTAATCTTAAATTGAACGTACCCCACATTGATATTGACATGTCGTGAATCGTGTTTCCGTTATAGAGTTAATAAACACTCTATGTACCTCCGTTACCATGCTGGTCTGCTCCGTAGAGAACGCGGTTTTGATTTCCGGGCCGGGAGAAATATTTATATGGTCTACATTTATTTATCTAGTGAGTTTGGGTGATAATGGTGTAATTTGTGATTTATGTGTGTGTCCGTGGCACCTACGACATTGTTTCCCTAGTGCGAGAATATGATTGTGTGCGTTATTATTATTACGTAGCAATATGGCTCAATATTACACCAATAAATATTTCAATTCTCGTCTCGCACAATCTCGTCAATCCAAACCAATTCCACCCAAGATGCGCTAGGAGAAAAGTGAAATTTTGCCATATAAATTTCAATCTTCGCTTCGCAGGCGGAAATGCACTTATCGTTTTGCAAACTAATTGATCCCTATAACTTACTTGGGCAGCGCATTGGCAACCCATTGTAGTAAGGTCTTTCTAGCGCCTTGTTTCCACCGGTCCTCTGCCCTCTGTGTCGGCGTGGCGGCGCCAGACTCTTGTGACATAGCAGACGCGCATCGCGATCCTCCGAGATACTCTAACGCTCGGCTGTTCTCTTCAATCTATTGATAAAACGAGACAATATAATTATTATGGTAGTGTAACTTTAATTTGAAAACTGCAGTGTTTATGGCCAAGTTCACAGTGCCAATCCCAATTATTAAAAATACTGTAATATTTTGTTTGCTATTTAGTACAGAATTATACTACAAATACGAGCGAGGACAGTAGTTAGAAGTTTCAATATTAAAACTGAGAGAACTTGTACAATGTACGACATAAAAACGTTTCGGAAAAATAACGTTTCGGATGGGTGCTGTAACAATCAACTATTTACGTCAACCAATGGCAGTTGTTTTACACATAATTAAATTTGCTACATAAAATAGCGACAGGCGATAAATATGAATTACTAACTACTAATAACATAGCTCAATAAGATCACCTCTAAACAAATGAAAAATAATTTTGTAATTACGTTGACAATAGCGGTGCACAAAAACAAAAATTAGATCATACCGAAAATCTGCAGAAAATAGAAAAGCTGATGTTAGTTTAAAGATTGTAAATAATGATGGGATAATCAAATTAAACGTCGTTACGGAAAGAAAAAGAGCTTTTATCAAAACAAATAAAGTTAATTTCACTAATAATAATAACAGTTATTATTAATAAAAAGATCGAACACTTAGAAAAAATCCTTCGATGCGAAAAAAAAAAAAGATTTCTCACAATGGCGCTACGGCAAAAAAAGTCATAAAAAACAACCAAAACAAATACCTGCAACAAGCATATCGACTCATCCGTAGAACAAAGATCTATGTGCATGACTACTTGTTCTCAGGACATAGTACATTTCGTTCGTTCTTCTTCGCTGTCGATGTCAGATCGACCGTTGTTTGATTTTGTATTTCCGAAATGAAATAAGGTATATAAATTCTCAAAACACCTTTACATGGGCCTTAGTTCGAATAACGAAATTATTCTGGTAATGTACCCATTCTCTTTTCGCTATATAATCACATAAGACACTGTTCTTCGGATGAGTCGATATAGAAAAACTCGTAAGATCCGCTGGTTCGTTCCGTAACTTAATTTGCATAGCGTCTGCCACGGTTGTTTCTAAAGTTGGTGCGAAATTAGCCGGATCGGAGGAATTTTTTCGAAGTGTTTTTTTCGATCTTTGTATTAATAATTACAAGAAACTAGTGGCTAGTGACTAGTAACTTCACAAAAAAAAAAACATGTAAAACATCTCGATGTTCAATAAACTTACTAGAAAATTTTACGTCTAACAATAATACACTAACTATAAAGCCAGTGTTGCAATACCCACCTTTTGTCTTCTATCCTGTGGGTCCAACACATTGAGTGAAGCTTGCG